TTAGAATTGCTCTCTTATTGCTATAAATGAGACTTGGGGAAAAAAAATAAACCTTTAGAAATGAGCCATCTATGAAACGCTTTAACTACACAGTGATTTCCAAGATGGAATGCAGATAAAAGTCATGAAGAGCAGCGTACCCTCAAGAAAGGTGTGTGCATTGTCACCTTTGAGAATGAACAGTTTTTGAAATCCCTAACCCCAACAGCTGTGTGATTTTGGTAGCTCCCAGATGTGCAGCAAGTGAAGGGTCCTCCCTACAACTCAGCAGCCCTCGTGCAAACTAGATGGGACCACTTCTTCACTGGGCTCCTGGTAGCTAAGATTTGGCTGCAGACTCAACTAGACTGCCAGGCCCCTCATTCTCCCATAGGATCTTCAAAGTCTTTACAGGAGACCCAGGAAGCCAATTGGGCTTTCTAATTTCTAAAACTTACAAAGTCTTCTGGGTCTCCAAATAGAGGTTAACTTGAGATCTAGAGTTAAAAGAAAACCCAACGGGGTTTAGGGCAGCATCATTAACTCTGGGGAAAATAAGGCTGGGAGGGGAGTTGGCATCAAGAGACCCATTCTGACTCAACCGACCCATCCATCAACAAGTTTTTACTAAGTGTCTACTATGCACCAGGCACTGTGTCTACACAGGCAAAATAGACCACAGGGGCTGTGTAACTTTCCAAATAGTTTGGGCAATGTTGACAGCCAGTTTAAAACAGGTAGTCAAGGCCCCAAGTGCTTTTCTTCCCAAGTGAATTTATGGGCAAGAACCCTACTAATGAGTAATTACCTCAACTCCACACCTTACATTGTCTATAAAGACAGTGTATTAAGATTTCCTCCAGACCAGAGGACATAATCATTCTTTCCCTAAATAAATATGGTGAGATAATCATCTCCTTAAAGCTGGAAGGAAACTTATATGTCATCAAATCCAACTTCTTCACTTTATAAATGATGAAATTGAGACCTGGAAAGGCTGACTTGTCATGCAGGGTCATGTAGCTAGTAAATATCTGAGGCAGGATTTGAACTCAGAGCTCTCCAACTGCAAGTCCAACACTCTACATTATGTCATGCTGCTTCTAAATGAAACTCCTTCTTGCACCTGAGGACAGATATTGCCTGCATGGAAGCCTACTCCCTGACACTGTACCATCTGTAAGCATGTATCACAGGTTCTACATGCAATAACAGAATCTGGGTGGGTATTTATTTTCTAGCTGTAAGGCTGGGGGCGTTGGCTTCCCTGCTTTCTGCCCACCTGCCCCCAAAGACTAATGACTCCCATTCCAATTGGTCTCTGTCTCAGTGGATATGATACCAGAGGGTGCCTGAGCTCCTTGGGTTCACGTCCTAACCCTCAGAGCCAGGGACCTGACCACCCTTTGGCTTTACTGTCCCTAACCAGTCTGTGCTCGGGAGTAGGGGTGGTCAGACAGGGTCAAGTGCAAACTGCAGAAAAATGGCCTCCTCCACATCTTTCTCTGTATTGCTATAATTGGTTAATTCCTGACTGTGATGCTAGTGGATGGCTGGGCACCAATAATAAGTCCCTGCAATATTAATTCATTTGCTGCTTCTATGTATTGACATGTTGGGGTTTGGAAATTGAAAAAAAACCTGGTATTTCAAGTCAAAACAAGGAGGAAAGAAATCCTTCTAATTCTGAGAGAATAGTTTATTGCTATCGTCCCACCGAGCTCTTCTCAGAGCACACTATCTTAATCACATATTGCTTGTCCACATTCTTACTCTTCAACGATCGAGATTTAGGAGCATTAAAAAAAAATTGCCTAGTGTAGACAAGTAAATTGGAAGCCATAAGCCGGGAGGTGGCATGTTCATTTATGAGGTGTTGTTTTAAAAATCTCACATCATCATCTGCCTAAGTGGTAAACCTTATAATCTACAGCAAAGCTAAAAACCACCCCAAGTGACAAATCTCTAGTTCCCCAACATAACACCCTCCTTCCCCCCACCCCAAACCCACCCCAACCCTAAAATTAAAAAAAAAACCTTTTAGAAAAAAGGTTGTGTCTTGTCTATTAAATCTTGAAATGTAAACCCGGAAACATGGCTCATTATCATGGTAAAAAGAACAGAAAGCTATCAATACATCCTTCATGTAAGTTCCACACACGGGCACCATGAGGACATCTACCTCCGCCATGTTCCTTGGACAAGGCTGAGGCGGATGCGCTCTCTGCATGTGTATCTAACTTGATTGAAAATAGTTTGTTTGAAATTCAGAGCACTAGCAAACTGCAAAAATACTACAATTTTACACTTTGGAATATCACAGGCACTTTGGGAGAGAGTGTATTGGGGAAAAAAATAGAGCATACAATAAGCTTCAGCTGATTTTGACCCAGAGGGACTGTTGCACCCAATCATGCACACTCTGGAGAGGGGACTCTGTCTCTCTGTACATGTCTGTCAGGACCTCGAAAAGCACACAGAGGAGAGGTACCCCGAGGCTCAGGAGTTCATACATATAGCAGTAGTTGTAAGCATTGTCCCTGAAATGGAGGGCGGTCTCATGCAGAAACCCATGTATCCTGTTACAGAGGCTTCTGGGGATGTCAAGCAGATCCCTTGTCACCCTAATGGGCCAGTAGAGCACTTTCCTAAAGAAGGAAGTCATGATACCTGGCGGGCTGGCTTCTCGGCTGTTGACGGCAGGACCAAGAATTTCAGGGGAAGCGTCTGGCCACTTTGCTTCCTGCTGTTTCTCCTTGACTTCCTCCTTAGAATCAGAACAAAGAGAAGTGTTGATTCCTGGGTCAAACAGATGGGACGCTCCGACCGATGAACGGTCTTCAGAGCCAACGGGCCAATGGGCCATGGGCCAAACCATCTGAGACCCTTCTGAGAATATGAATATGAAAATGACTTGGCAAAACTGACTTTTAGACAACAGGACCATTAAAATATCCATAGGCTCATCATTTCAGAGTAGCAAGGCCTTTTCAGGTCATCCAGTCCAATCTCCTAATTGAAAAAATAGGGAAGCTGAGGCCCAGAGAGGTTCAGAAAGGGATACTAAGATACAGTCTATACATGAAAGCCTTTCTTAATTCATAAAACACATCTTAAGTTTAGTTACATAGGAAAAGATCCATTTCAACTTGGGAGGAAAAAAACAACAACTTAGGCCTTAGAAATATCTCCTTCTCATCTTTCCTGGGCCTGAGCAACCATCTACACTAGGTGAGCTAGAAAGATTTCAATGTTCTCTCCCATCCTCCCTCTCTGTATCCCTTACTCCCTCCTTCTGTCTCTATGGGGAAGGGTAAATTGTGCATCTTGGGCAATATGGTGTAGAAAAGAGTGTTATGGAAACAAGAATGACAAGTCTTAAGAGAGCATTAGAATTAGAGCAGACTGTAAGCAGATTTTCACACGCTTTTTTTACTTTATTTTTCTTGGTTTTCTGAGTTGGTTTTTTTTTTTTTTTGGTCTGCATTTGCTTTTGCAACATGGCTAATCTGGATATGTTTTGCAAGAATAAGCTATATCAAATTGCTTGCCTTGTCAAGGAGGGGGGAGGGAGGGAGAGAATTTGGAACTTACAATTTTGAAAAAAGAATGTTAAACATATTTTTACATATAATTGAGAAAATAAATAGCTATTCTGAAGAGAAGAAATAGGATAGACTTAGCCATGGACCTCCCCCAAAGGTATAGGACAGGCCAGGAAAACAAATAACATATAGATAAGAGATAGTCCCATGAGGATTTATCCTCAGGTCTATTCCCAAGGACTTTGTTTATGCAAAATTATTTATTGAGGAATGTCAGGTATATGGTTTCTTAGACAGAAGGCAAATGGAGACAATAATTGGGTTCGAGCTGGGCTCAGAGGTCCCAGAACAATGAAGATGCTACCCTAGATTCCACACCTTGTCACTCACTGGTTCCTTTCAAAAGCCCTATCTCCCTCCCACGGCTGCTCTTGGGTGAACTGAAAAAAAGACTTCAAGATGGCCATCTCTAGGGGTCACAGAGAAATGCCTTCTCATTAAGGATCTTGACTCCTCTCTATGTTAGAGGTATTTCACAGGAAAAAAAACAAAACAACGTACCTCTTCTTGTCTCTTCAATTCTGCTCGTCTCTTCCTTTGCTTACTATTGGTTCTACAGTGAATGAAATGAGCTTTGCAGTAAAATTTACCTGTAAAGAAATAATCAAAATGGGAAGATGACATTTAACCTACAACTCTTTGATTAAAATATAAATGGACGACACCAAACTCTGGGATGCTACAGCAGAGATCTCCTTCCAAGTTGTCTTTGAAACACTAATGGTTAGTTTGGACATTGATGAGATCACAGATTTAGAGCTGGAGGAGACCAACCCTCTTATTGTGCAGATCAGGAAATTGAGACCCAAGGAAATGTGACTTGCCTAGGGTTATATTGGTTAAGTGCACGAAGTGGGATTTTTTTGTCTCCAAGTCATCAGGTTTTGCCCAATGCCTTTCATTCGACTTCATCTGAATTCACTCAAGACTAAAATCTAGTTCTCCCCTTTCCATCTCATCTGCAGGAAGAACATGAAAGACGGTCAAATGCTTTGCCAAAATCTAAGTAAACTACATCCACAGCATTTCCTTCATCTACCAGTATAGTAATCCTATCCAAGACAGAAATGTGGTTGGTCTGGTATGTCCTGCTCTTGAGAAAGCCACTATTAACTCTCTGTGGTCACAGTTTCCTTTTCGAGGTGGCCAGGAATGATCCCTATCATAACACGATTGAGAATTTTGCCAAGAATCAAAGTCAAGCTCACTTGGCCCTGTCCAGGCCCTCCAGTGCCTCTCCCATAAGTTGCTATTGCTCTTTCCCTCCTCAATTTATATTGTATTGATTCATTTGTGTATGAGTGGTATCTCCCCTAGTAATTTGTATTTTGCTTTTTGGTGAGGTGATCAGGGTTAAATGACTTGCCCAGGGTCACACAGCTAGTAAGTGTTAAGTGTCTGAGGCTGGATTTGAACTTAGTTCCTCCTGACTCCAAGGCCAGAGCTCTATTCACTGTGCCACCTAGCTGCCCCTTTCCCTAGTAAATTTTAAGAACTTTAAATAAGATAACATATGTAAAGTACTTTGGGAACCTTAAAGCACTATATAAATGGTAGTTATTATTACTACTGCTGCTGCTGCTGCTACTACTACTACTACTACTTTTTATAAGGGCAGGCAAGGGCAGTTTTCATTTTTATCTTTTGTATCTCCAGGACCTAGCACAGTGTCTTCCACATGACAGGGGCTTAACAAATATCTCATAAATTAAATTGACATATCTACATCTTCTGGGACTTACCAAAAGCTTGTTTAATTGAAACTATCAATCAAGTGCCACTTCCTCTATCAAGAGGCAGACATTGATAATGAGACCATTACTGAGCAAAGCTTAAAACTTGAGAAAGTCAAAGTTATTTTGGAAAGGGTCCAACTGAATTCAACAAGCATTTTAAAAGGACCATTTACTATGTGCCCAGTACTGTGCTAGTCTCTGGAGAATACAATATGGGAAGAAACCTGTCCTCAAGGAACTTATATTCTTTAAGAGATCTGTATTGTGCTAATGAAGACAGCAGTTGGTGTGGTTCTGTTCACCTAGCTCAGCCCACACAGCAATCTACTTGTTTACTAACTCTGATAATGATAATAACAATAATAATAATAATAGCTATCATTTATATAGCACTTACTATGTGCCAAGCACAGGGCTAAGTGCTTTACAATTGTGATTTCATTTGAGCCTCACAACAACCTTGGAAGGTAGGTGCTATTATTATCTTCTATTTTACAGTTGGAGAAACTGAGGCAAACAGAGGTTCAGTGACTTGGCCAAGGTCATACAGCTAGTGTCTGAAGTCATATTTGAACTCAGGTCTGACTCTAGGCTCAGTGCTCTGTCCACTGTGCTACTGAGCTGCCTCTACTATGGTATGGCTAGACTTTAGAGCCAATCTCTTTCCTAGAACATTTACTTATTCCCTCCTCTACGGCTTTGCTCTTAATATTCTTCTACTTACATATTCTACTCAACCTATCTTCCTCCATCTCTACCTACATAACATTCTTCTACCTACATATAACATTCACATAATAATCTACATATAATATTTATACATAACATCTCTACGTAACATTCTTCTATCTACATGTAACATCTACTCAATCATCTTCCTCCCTTCCTGCCCTGAAAGGCAAAGTCTTCCATTCTGATTCACTGGAGAATAGAGCCAGTATCAGTGAACTGGAAAAGAGTGATGTGACCCTGAACTTCAGGACCTTATTAATGATCAAAATTTAGAGATGCTATTCCTAGGGATGGGATAATGGATGGCATAAAGGACAGAGCAGCCCCTCAAACTTCATCTTGGCCAGGCTTAAAAACACAACCAACAAAAACCCTAGAACTACAGAGAGCCCACTCAGTTTCCCTGGCATGAGAAGACCCAACCATAACCCTTCACGGGACCCCAGACCTCGAGTTTTGGAAGGGCCCTTCCAAGGCTATTGATTCGACTTCATTCATTCTGTACAATATGAACTAAAGCCAAGAGAAGTTTGGTGACTTTCTCTGGGGTCCCATAGCTAGAAATTGTCTGCAGGTAATCTTGGAACCCAGGTCTTCCTTCTTTTAGAGGAGATAAAGAGACTGGACCTTTTACTGACACTGGGAACTTCTGAATGAGGAATCTCTACCAATGCAGGCTGCCGTATTCTCTGAAACACATAGTTTTAGAGAGTTAGCACCATGAGGTCAAGCATCTGCAAAACAGTAATGGTCCAAGGCAGGCATAAGCAGAGGTCACAGACATGCTCAATCCAGCTCAATGCAGTAATCCTTTTGCCTAGTAAGTGCAATTGAGTCCTCAGGAGGCTCCAGGGCCAAGGCCTAGGGGGAGCTCCTTCCAGGAGAAGGACCCATAAGACCATAAGACACATAAGACCATAGACCTATTTGTCTATGGGCTGTAAGGGCTCAGCCCTCCTCTCTCCCTAACTTGGGAATTCCCTAGGATGTTGCCCTTTAAGGTAGCCACTGCAGGGGTTTACCTTCATCTGCATCAAAGGCATAGACGGCCAGGCGAAGCGTGGTAGAGCAGATCTCACATCTGAAGCATTCCCTGTGAAAGAAGTGGCCCTCGGCACTCAGGCGCTCCATCACGTACACACGCCTCTTACAGAAATAGCAGATGTCGCTTCCTCCCAGGTTCTGGGGGAATTCTTTTCTCAAAGATCCCTGGGGACATAGGAGAAGGAAGGAGAAAAACAGCCAGTCAGAAGAGAAGAGTCTTGGATTGTAACCACCAATGTCAGTAAAAACCCAAGACGTCCTGGCATGCAGGCTGGGCTTGCAAGAACCTATGGCTTGAAGCTGATGAACAGCTCTTAAGATGCCATCTTAGTCTGACTCCTTCACTTCATAGGTGACAAAACTGAGCCTCCCCTCCCCTAAAGGAAGGGGGTCATCTAAGGCGAGACCAGTAGGGAGCAGTAGGGCAAGCAATGGAACCTAGGTCTACTGCCTCTCCAGACAAAGGCTCAGCCCACTACAACATCCTCCCCCACTGTAGGGGGCAGAGAAAATACCTAGAAATGGAAAGGCTCAGAAAAATTTTTTTTTTACTGCCTAGGATACTCTAACACCATGTCTGTACGGCAAAACTTTAGGATTTCAGTGTAGTTTTCCAAATTGAGTCTGCTCCAAGATTCCTACAATTACTATTTTTTAAAAGTTCTCCACCCCCAACCCTACCCTAATTTTTTTTTTGCCTAGACCTGAAATTTTATCAGCAGGGAACTCCCAGTGTGGAACTACCCTTCTCCAATGAGATCTTGTAGGGGATAGTTTTTGAGAATTGTCTTGGGACACTGAGAGGTGGCATCTTCCTCACAGTCAGATAGCTGGTACATGTCAGGGGTGAGACTTGAACCCAAGCTTTCTTGTCTTCTATCCATATGGACCCCTCTGCCTTTCCTCCCTCCCTGTGACCTCAGTGACATGTGGAATAGCAGCATAAAGCAATGTTTTCCAAGAGAAGACAAGCTAAAAGTGACCAAATAGGAAATGTGACATTTTCCATTCCATTGCCAATTAAGTGTACATTAGTAACTTACGGAAGGCAAGTAAAGTTTGCCCAACCCAAGACCTTCATATACACACACACACACACACACACACACACACACACACACACACACACA